GCTCTCAATGCATATAACTCCCTCCAATTCTCCCTGTCTTTTAGTATCGGTGTCTTCTCCTTGGGCTTCTGACAACAAACCACTGCACCACACTCTCTACTTCAATTTCTCTGCAAGACAAAATACACCTTCCTGCATTTCAAAAGCACTAACAGAAAAAGACAAATCTATAAATAGTCACAGTAAAAGCTAAAGTGCCTCATACAGCAGCCAGAAGCTGGAGGAAGTGGACAGAAAGGGAGCTTGTTGTTTTTTAACAAAGTATAGAAATGAAAGACTAACGATTCCTCCCAGATTGAGAAAATAGAGAGATAGAAAGTTTTCATTTTATATTCAATAGTTTTAACTTACTCTGCTGTCTAAGACGATCATGAATTGAATTCAAACAATAAGTGACTACTTTGTTTCATTATAAGGATTGATTCTTATCTCTTACACTCATGGCAGTTAATTGAAACTTCACAGAAATTAATTTAACAAGAAGCATCCATAAAGTAAGATCCAGGTGCTGGGCTATCATTTCTCTTTCACTTACAGGTGTATTTGCCTCCTTTATTTTCACCCTATAAAGTCAGGGAAGCAGTCAGACTATCACTTCAACAGATTAAAGTAGCTGATAAGCAGAAGTTTTTTTCTGATAATGTTGTTACAAATCTTGACAGTAAACCCACTAGTCAAAGAAGAATACACTATAAGGCAGATACTATGGGAGGTTTATTTTAAAACAATATTACAGCTATATCAAGCAGTTCCTTTTTTAAGCCAAGTGTAAATCACTACCAGGAGGACCACTAAACTTATAAACTCTGAAAACTGCCCCACACCTAAAGACATCTAGAGTTATTAAGACACATCATTCCTGTTAAAGACTGCTTTCTTTCCACTATGAGCTCACTTTTTTTTTTCCCCACAAGGTTTGGTGTCACTGAAGTACAGTGTAAAATTGTGGCTATTGTTGGCCTTTTTACACACTGTTCCTAACTTAACAAACAGAGCAGTTTAGAAGGTCAAATAAGAAAACAATATCTTAAGAAAATAGCAACTTCTGTGGCTTTGAAATGAAAAAAAAATCAGTGCCAAAATGTTTATCTCCTCGGTTCATGAAGCCATAAAATAAGTACAGCACTGTGAATCATCTCAGAACTTCAAAGCTTGTATGCCCAGTGTACCATTTTCGGCCTATTATGTTGTACAGTTACTGTACTTGTAGTAAATAGTTATACAAGACTGTAGCAGCAGTGCCAAAGATTTCACCCTTACAGTAAAATCTCCTTAAAGCTACACTCTTTACCATAAGCTCACTGTATGAACTCACTGACTTTCATCACCTCAAGAGCCTCTCCACGGTAAAACTGCTGACCATTACACTGACAATACCAGCTTCCTTTCGAGAATACAGAACGGCAGATAGAGATATTACAATATACACAGTAAGTGAATAATGAAACATAGCGAGTAAATTCCTTTTGCATATCAGCATTTCCATAGAAAAGGAAATCAATGGGTTTGCTCATTGCATAGGAAACTGCAAGAAAAATTTGCTAAGCTAAAAAAGAAAAAACCCTCCATCTATAAAATTGAAGGTGGTAGCATATCCCAAGATATTATGCAAGCCAAGAAGAAAATAGAAAATCATGTTCATAGGTAATACATGATTCAAAATAAGCAACATGGTTACTTAACTACTCTGATTCCTGTTTACGTGTGATTTTTAGCAATTTGTCCCTATTAATTGGTAACAGGCTCAATTTACCTATGCATAGAAAGTCTAACCTATTGCAATCTGTTTGCACCTGCCTGGTGTGCAGCTGCTCATTATTCCATGTGGCTGGGTTAATCAGAAGGCACCACTACTGTCTTAAAGAGTCCATCTGGGAGGATTTAAGCCAAAATACCTATTAGGCCATGTAAAGAAAAGCCCTACGAGGCATTTGAATTTTTTGTGTATGTCATAGGACACTGTACAAGTTTTTTGCATGTCATCTGGCAAACCGATTTGTATCAGTGGCCAAGGTTTCAAAGGAAAATTAAAACAGCTTGGCATATTATAAAGTGCATTGTCATGGGAGAAATTTGTTATGACTTCAATTAACAATTGTTTTATACTTCAATACCGAAGACTGTTCTGTAAGTTTGTGTACGGCAACCTGCTACAAGTTTTCTTTTCCACAGCAATTTGTTAACTTCATCAAGATTGCAGAGTCAATTTAAGTCAACATGTCAACAGTAAGTCAAAAGTTTGAACTAATAGTGAACAAGATAGATAAAGTAAAAATTTGTATCAGTTGTCCTGATTTGGAAGATGACATGTCCTGCTAAGATACTCTCTTTGTTTTAGAGACTCTCCTCAGCATGGATCTGCAACAGATCTTTGCCTGTGTTATACTAGGCAGCCCATTACAATTTCATCTTCATTATTACTTTTTGTAGAATAGATGTACTTCTACCCAGTCAATTTTTTTTGAAGAGCTGTTTCTTCTTCTCTACCGCCAGAAAGACTGCCTGACCAAAATAAGGACTTCACTAGTTGCCTTGACACACTTGCTCTTCTTAAAGACTGCATGGAAATATAAACTCTAAACATGATCCCAAAAGTCTTTACACTTAGTTTTATGCTGCATCTTCACTGAGTTTCTGCACTTTTAATATCAGTTTCTTCTGTTCTCAACAAATATGCTCTCAAGCCTCAAACTCCTTTGCTCCTGCTTTTCCATCAACTAAGAGCCTGCATTTAAGTAAATGAACTTGTATAATGTTTCCAAGGCTTGAGAGGTGTACATAGGAGATGTTTCCTGCAACCACTTCTTGCTTCTGGTAAAAAGCATTTTCTCTTCAGAAAAAAAGATGCTTTTACCCTGGCTTCTGAAGCTTGGAACCTTAGTAAATCAGCTGAGAAAATAACTGAACAGAATCCCACAGTGCAGTTGTATAAAATACTTAACAGAAAAAATAGTTACTTCATTTCTCTGTTTACGTATAATGTATACGAAAATCCTCTCTAAGCAGTATTATATATTTTCTAGTAATAAAATAGTATTCAAAAGCAACATGCTGCAGAGATGAAAATATAACTTACACTGGCAGCCATGTTTCTCTGAAAGTTATTACAAGCACGTTACAGCAGAAGGAAACTTCAGCAAACAGACCAAGCAAGAGTCCTATCTTTGAAAGGTGATTGTTACATCTGTGATCTATTATCTGCAACTAATACCTTTATTTCTTTTTTACTCTTTTTTAATTGAGTTCTCCTATTTTATATCAAAATTTACCTGTTAGTGTGCTTATTCTTGTATACATACACAGTATTAGCTCCTCTGTAGGAGCTATTCTAGCACTTAACAGGCAAATAAAATACTTTGGATGTACATAAATAGTTGATACATTCCGAAGTTTTCTTAGGAAACAAATGTATTTGATAAAGTAAGATGATTTTTGATCTTTAGTGAATGTAATTGTTTTGTGACGACTAGTTTTATGGAGATCTCTGGACAAAAAATATATAGAAGTTCCTAACACTGTTGCTATAATTTGATTAATTACATTAACTATCCAAATAAAATATCATAGAAGATAATTGTTTCCAGATGGAAAAGATAATGAATTTAGAATGAAGTATATTCATGTTCCATTTAAATTGATAGTTTGTAACAGAGTTAGATTAATTATGTCTCTAAAATCAGGAGAAATGTCATTTGAATTTATCTGGTTTTGTATTGTATAGCTTTAACACTAAGGACATATGTTTATCTTTCAAAACTATTAAGACATGATCCAAAGCACACCGAATTAACAGGATAACTTGTTCTTGAATTGAACAGGCTGTGATTCAGGCCTTAACCACTGCAGCTTTATAAAAAAAGAAAAAAAAAATGAAATTCTCAGGTGATTTCTTATCATGTATGATGAGAAATGGAAAACTCACAGGTTCTTGTTGATCATAGCTGGAGTCCACAGAGTGACATGTGAAAAGTGCTAAGAAGGAACCCATGAGGACTGGAAAAGACTCGGATTTTATGGGTTAATGATTTGCCAGAAAGAGTCTTGCCAAGTTTAAATGAAGAAAACTAGAAAAATGGCATAACTCAAGCAATGCTGTTGAGGTAATGCACGCTGTAATAGTGAGTGAGAGATGCAGAAGTGTTCCCTAATATTCCTTTGTAAGGCAGCTACACAGTTTTAATGAAATAAACAGCTACAGTAAAAATTTAAGAGATCAAAATTCCAGTGAACTTTAAAGTATATATTACTGTGTATGCTGCCTATGTAAAGTAAAATTACAATATGTGCAACACATTTTTAATAAGCATTAAAATGTTAATTTCTGAAATTAAACCTTGTAGACTGACATTTTAAAAGATGATGTACCTTAATTACAAAACTGTCATCTCATTTCATTCACAATTAATTAAACCATATGATGGAATGTGCAATGTATATTCAACCAAAATGGTCTCACAATTCTAAAATTCTCTTCTAGAACTGAGAGGTTAAAGCTAAGCAACCAAGATGTGACAAAGTGATAAAAACTTTCAGTTCAAATGGAAAAAAAAAAAAAAGTATTCAGGAAAAAAAAAAATTGTGTTTCTGTATGATTTTTCAGACAAAAAATGTAGGGAAGGTCTCTAACTTACAGACAAAAAGGTAAATTTACAAATAAATAATACTAATATTACTGCTTTTGTTGGAAATGCTGATTTAATGGCAGATATTTCAAAAAGCTGAGCAACCTTAATTTCAAAAGGAGTCTAGACAATGAATATAATTAGATCAAATAGACTAGATTCCACTTTTATTATTCTACTTCAGCTTTAAGTTTTTCTGTTTGCTTTGTGTTGCTTTTTTTTAAAATTGGAAAACATTCCCAAAACTGTACAATACTTAATAGTGCAGGGAAAATAGAGTTAATGTACTTGCTGTATATGTTGAATTTTTATTTATTTATTTATTTATTTTTCTTCACATTGAGCTTCTTACAGTTCATTAGGGCTTTCTTTCCTTACCTGGAACTCTCTTTGCCCAGTTGATCATGTGCACTAATTCTCTGTCTGCAAGGTTGGTCAACAGGGTCATCATAGATGCTTCGTTGAATGGTCTATTGGGGTCATATTCAGAATAAACTATGGGTGGCTCAGCTTCCAGCAGGGCACTGACCATCTGTTCTGCTGTCAGAGACAGGGCTGGACTGTTCTTCTTGTTATGTTTAACCACTAGTGGACTTGTCCAAAGGGTGGGAGCTCGCAGCTCTGTAGAAGAAGCCTCCCCATTCCTGGAATCCTGTTCCTCTCTTTGACGTTTCTGTTTCATCATTCGCCCACCACCTCTGCGGTCTTTCCGGATTCCTAGAGACACACAAAAATATAATGAACTCCTTTCTTTGAACATAGGCATTACATAAATTTGACCTCAGCCAATTAGAAGCTGCTGTTGATAGGCCAGTGGAGTATTAACTCCTGGTGTACTTTGTCAAGTTTTCTTCCTATGTGTGGAATCTTACATGAGTAGTTGGAGAGAAAAAGTATTTTAAAAAGTATAGTATCAGAAATAGGCAGTAACTGGAAATAAGTTAAATATTTTTTACAGCACAAACCTTAATGTCATGTCTTAACCTCTAGTATGTAACTGTTCAACAATTCATCAATAGCAACTTCATGACCTGAGCTGGCCTACATGTATCATAGAAATAGCTCTCAAAAGAAAGCTTTCCTCAAGTTTACCAATTCTAACTAAACACCAACCTACTACTGTGGAGCACGTGATCTTCCTAGTTAGGTAAGAAACGCTCAGAAAAGTTACCGTCATAAGATGGCCTTATACAGCAATAAAGATTGCTGCACAACCAGATAAAAAGAAAAAAAGAAAAGGGAAGATAATTTCCACCTCAAATCTAGTGTGGGAGACCTACTGTCAAAAGTCAGTAACAACTGGAACAGAAATTGTATTTGTCATTACTGCACCTTTCTGCAACATGCTTAGCAATGAATGACCCTGAACCTTTTGAAGTTATTGAGTCAGCCATACTAATTAGAACAACAACACTAAGCCTTTACAGTAAAGTAGAATCTCTTTTGTGGAAAGGTTACAAGCAAATAAAGCCCATGTGTACTCCAATCATAAAGAAAGAATAAATGCTGGCTTTGAGTGGAGGAGGAACAGGCATTTTGAGGCTGAGTTAAATACTTAAAATTGGTTAAAAGCAAGATGAGTATAAAATGAAGGCACACAAGGAACTGAGCCATGAAGAAGAGGCAGACAATGATGTGTATACCAAGCTTGCAATCACACCAAGGATTTCATGGCTGTTGGGTGGATAGAGCCTACCAGACCATTTGTGTGGGTTGTCCATATAGGGACCACTCTGCTCCCACTGTTTCCACAGTTCATTAGTCCTAGCAGAAGGTCAGTAGAAGACAAAATCATACTTTATAAGCATAGAAGATAGAACACCCTTACTTTCTCTCCTTCACTTTCTTGTAGAGAAAAGAAGTGAAGAAGCTGGCCCACCAGATTAGGCACTTGCCACAGTATTTCCCTCCAAAAAAACCAACTTACATCTCTGAAATTGAAAGAAAAATAAATAATCTGCAGTATCAGCTTCTTCCATATGGAAAAAAGAACTTCAGCTACTAAGCCTCTCCAAATGTCTCGTCTCTCAGAATGGCAGGAGGACTAGAAAGAGCCTTGGAGGTAGCAGTCCCCTAACTTTAATTTCTAATTTACTAATGCTGGATAGCCACAAGGGTTATTCTGGAGTTCCTGCACAATATGCAGCTCTAGTCCCAGTTTAAAACAAAAAGAATAAGAAGGATGGGGCAAACTATTCAAGAAACTGAGGGGAAGGAAATATTAAACAAACAAACAAACAAACAAACCAAACAAACAAACAAAAACTTTGAAATCTGTTGGCCCTGAAAATAATGAATACAGATCTTCCTGGTGGGTGGGGGAGAGAAAGGACAACCTTTGATCACCTTTTTTTCACACCACAAAAAATATAATCTATTAGGTTTCCAGTTTTTGTTGTTGTTATTGTTTTGTATTTTTTTTTTCTCAAATCCAGTATTTCTTTATATAATTTCTTCCTCAGATTAATGGCTTTTAGATCCTATCAGCAGGTGTGCTCTCTCAATGATAAAGAGAGCATCTATAGATCAGTATGCCTCTTTCTTTAAAAACAGTAATATGTTCAATGAATTTGTACTTGAAGATTAATCTCTCTAAGTCCTAATTCTTTTAATACCTAGCAGACCTCCTGATTCTATTCTAGAAATCTTTCCATATACAGCAAGTTCCATAGATCTTTCATCACCCTTACTACTTAACCTCTCTACGTTTTCCCATTAGTTAAACTAGTTGTAAGCCAAAAGTCTGAAGTGCACCACTGTTCCCATTTTTCATTAAATAATACCTACTACCACTAAACTATTTCTGTTTAGAAGATGAGGGGGAGATTCTTGCTATTAAGAAAAAAATGACTTATTTTGGAACAATGCCATCCTGGAGTTAGTCTCATTGATAGCTTGCTTCATCAGACCACTCTGTCAGTATGCATGGACTACTCAGTAATATGCATACTTTCTGCAACAAATATATTTGGTAGTATGCTTTATTTCACTGTAGTGTTATTGAATTAAAATTACACTTCAAAACATAAATAAATAATCATGTAATGAAAACCACATGGTTCATATACACTAAACATTTGCTAACTTTCCCACATTCCAAATTCTACAGCTGCTCATGCAGCAGTTTTCCTTTGAAGAGTTAAAAGTATTCTTGGATCCTCTACTGTGCAACATAAAAAAAATTAGATGGTCTTAAGAGTAGACATAATTCAAAAATATTATCTTGGGGTTATAATAATACTATAAAAACATCAGATAAGTTAGTTTAGAAAGTAAACAGAATACTAGAAGTTACCAAGAGAAGAAGAGAGAACAAAGCATCTTAATAAATCAGATTATATTAACCCATGAGGCACACCATAATGAATGCTACATGCAGTTCTGTTCTTCCCATTTTAAAAATTCTCTAAAATATAAAACAACTGAAAAAGATCTAATAAGTGAGAGACGTGTAAGATGATCTGAACAGTGAAATAAACTTGGTGTGAGAAACCGCTAAATTGACTAGGTCTGCTTGTCTTGCAAGTCAGGTACAAGATTACAGATTGGGAATAGCAAGATGAATAAAAAACCAACGCTCACTCTTCTTTAATTCAAGACAGTATCAAAGGAAAACACCCCGCAGAAGGTTCAGGACAGTCAACAAGAAGTTCTTTTTAACGTCATGCTGAAACAAAGCTGAACTTGTGAATACATTAGACATTGGTATGTCTTTGAGAGGTACAGATCAAACATGTGGGAGAGAAGAATCCATCAAAGGTTAATATAAACAAATATAGCACCTTTGGCTTAATTGTCTGTGCCATAGAATCTCTCTGTAGGATTATTTTTGGTTTGTTTGTTTTTCACATTAAACTTATTCCAGACCTGCCTTGTTACATAAAACAAGGATATGATGAATGTTTAACCTAATAGAGGACTTTTAACAAATGTAAGCATGCTTAGATGCTTACAAATAAATCAGAATCTAAAGGACAGCAATAGTTTTAATTCATCTGCACTGGCTTCTTGTCACCCTGCAAAGAGTGATGCACTGAGTGAAGCTGAATATAACATTCTGAATTTGCAAGATATGCTCTGCCCAAATTTATTTTTATGTTTTTATTTCAGGAATAAATTTAAACTAAATTAATAAATAATTAAAGACTTGATTATTTGCGATAAATGGGAAGAGATTTCATAAAACTCAGTAAACCTTTTTTTGACACTAAGACTGAAAAACCAGCTCACTTGATAAAACTAAGCCAAGATATTTTTGTGCCATAGAATCATAGAATCATAGAATATATAGTTGGTCTATTTTCTAACATTTGAGAATTTCACTTTGCAATTTTAACTATCTATTAGTACATTTTATTCATATACATCATGACCATATGCATCATTCACAGAAAATTATTTTCTATCTATTTCATTGCAGTTCTCATTGCATGACACGTCACCTGGGGATGTTTTAATGTTCTAATTTGGAGCAGGATATAACTATTTTAGTTTATAGAAAAATTAAAGAGGGCAAAATGTAGCTACAGACATTTTGAATCTAACCACTAACAATGTATCCTGTCTTGTGATGTCACAACAATGTTCCATCTGCAGCATTTTTCTCAGGCTTTTTTTCCTCTTTCTTTTTTCTTTTTTTTCCCCATTCAGTAAAGCTCGGTTAGTCATTAACTAACCATAAACATCTTAGAATGCACAACATGTAATGAAAAAAACTTAAAATCTAAAATTTTTAAGTCACCGCCTTCTTTCTACTGCATTATCACTGTCTAGTCTGGCCATAAAAATACATTCACTTCCAAAGCAATTTCTTTTCTTAACACTCTCTCATAATTGTGCAAAAGTAAAACATTCTCTGATTAGTAGGAGGAGATAGCAGATTTTTCTCCAGAGTTCCAGGTCCATACAGTGGATGAGACAGTATTTTATCCTATAAACCTCTATATTAAGTCTATGAGGAACAGGAGTTTCTATTTTCTCTTTTATAAAAGAATTTTACTGACTAAAAACAGAGTAAAAAGATTTAAAATCATACTTTGAGTAAGTGAGGAAATTAAAAGTAACACTTAGACCATAATTGGTAATCCTTAGACATCTTAGAAGTCCTTAGACATGTAGAAGTGTCTTTGATACAATTTCAGTCTAAAACTGATACAGGGTCCGTGTCCAGTTGGTAAGTAGAGCATTCAAAGAACATGCAGAAAAGAGCAGCCAAAGCAGAGAAGCTACATGATCACATCAGTATTCACAAAGGAAGAAATTCTAGATTTTTCTATGCCAGAAAGGGTTTATATGGAGAATGGGGGGATCTGAAACTGAAACTGACAGTTGAAGAGACTGGAAATCAAAAGTCCAGTCTCAGGTATCTTCATACAGGACTTATTTTCTAAAATGCTGCAGAGCAGCTCTGGAACTGTGCCCAGGCTTACACTAATATCATTGTTGTCATTGATAGAAAGGCACAAAAGTAACAGTCTGGCAAAGAATAACAGTGTGAACAAGCCAGAAGTGCCTTTATGAATGCAAACCTGAGTATCACCAGAGTGTGACTGGATTTACAGTCATCTAAAAATTGTCTTAGGTGCATGCATGCAAGGTAGCTGTCTCCTCAGAACCTCTTACAGTTATTTTTCTTTTTAGACAGACCTCATTACGCATGATGAAGTCATTATTTTTTTAATGTTTCTTTAAGGCCTTAAAGAAGCTCCTCTAAAGCT